ACAAACGAGCAAAGAGCGGGAACCTCCGAGGCAGACCACCCAGAGCTCCTGCATATCCGTATGAAGACACGCGTGCTTTTGTAATGTGTGTATGGACACAGCCTGCTCATCCGGAAGTCGGCAAGTGCTAATGCAACCCAGTGGTGAGGGGAGAGGAGAACCCACTTCCATAACCGTTCTCACATTACACACACACAAAAAATCACATATAGATTTTCCCCTCCCCCCAAAATATATGTTTGTCTGGAACCTGCTTAACTCTCCTTTAGGCACCAAGTGCAAGCTACGGTATTCTTTTTTCACGCTTCTGGAGGGACACAATTATGCATATCCGTATGAAGACACGCGTGCTTTTGTAATGTGTGAATGGACACAGCCTGCTCATCTGGAAGTCGGCAAGTGCTAATGCAACCCAGTGGTGAGGGGAGAGGAGAACCCACTTCCATAACCGTTCTCACATTCCACACACACACACAAATCACATATAGATTTCCCCTTCCCCCAAAAATATATGTTTGCCTGGAACCTGCTTGACTCTCCTTTAGGCACCAAGTGCAAGCTACGGTATTCTTTTTTCACGCTTCTGGAGGGACACGATTATTTACTATTATTATTAATCTAAAACATTTATATGCCACCTTCCCACCCATCCGGGGTCCCCAAGATTGCAAACGCTGTGGCATTAAAACATTTAAAAGATTAAAACAGAATTTTGAAAGTATATATAACTATTTGCCAATCGAATCAAAAACACGTGTGCAGGCAAATAAACAGGTTTCATCTGTTTTCGATGCTGATGCTTTTCATTTGTAGAGGGTCTTGGGGGGGGGGTCTGTTTTGATTTGTACTTTACTGCCATTTCGATGGCACCCTACCTCAGAGACACTCGTGGGGGAAAAGGTGGGGGTTTAAGTCTGTCAAATAAATTAGCAATAGGTCCCTCAGTATTTAAAAAAAAAATCCCTCTAAAGTACAAAGAGCCATTTCCTAGAAACACAAATGCCTCGTCAGACCAACAGTCCCCCCTTCCCTCCTCTGCCGTAACGCATGCCAGATTTAGACAGAAATGGAGAAGCCAAAACCCCGTGTGACCAATACGTTGCAGAGATGTACTTCTGGTCATCTGCAGAGAATCTCCGCCAGGTGCCAAACTGTTGGAAGTTACAAGTTAGAACACTTCTATTCAGTATTTACTGAGTTAATGCTGTGTTCTAAATCACATGTTTGTTTGTATCCTATCTGCTTAGAGAGTTAGAAAGCCCGCCAGATACAGATCTAGTTTGTTGTTCTGATTGGGGAATGGAGTGTTTTCTTTTTTTTTTTGGAGTGTGTTCATTCTGCTGATTATTTCTATTGATTTCGGTTATTTATGCTGGCGTCCTGCTGACAAATATATTTTTATCGTTTTTTTTAAAAATTAATGTGTGGGTTTTAACTGTTTTTATCGATTACCTTGTGTGCTACTTCAGTCAAAAAGTGGGGATAAATATTTTAAGAAATGAAATGTGTCAGGTTGAAGGTGGGCAATTAAAAAAAAAAATCCAATATGGCCACACATTAAAACAAACAAACAAGCAAATGCACATCGAACCCCTGTGGCAGGGAAAAGACTGGCTGGGATCTTTTCTGATATGATCGTTTTGCCATCAGAACGAGCATTTTGTGCGTGTGTGTGTGTGAGAGAGAGAGAGGGGGTTCAGACATCCGACTTCCTTGACATGCTGGCTGAAATCCAGACGCGTCCCTCGAGGGTCCTTCCTGGCTGGTTTTCACTTTCAGGCCCAGTTGAACATGTGAAGCAGAATAAGAACGGAGATCACCAGTTCAGACTGCAGGTGTGGGGGGGGGAGCGCATTTAGAACTCTCCGCAAGCAGAAAGCCAGCACAGCAGGCAAAGGGCAGAACATCTCTCCCTGAGGAGCTAGTTTTCTGTTCACTGGGTTTTTTATTACATAGACAGCCTTCAGCATTGTGACCCCTCCACTTGCAGTCTAAGGTGGAGCAGTCCATTCTACCATCCTGTTCTGCATCGTGTATATAGCCAGGCGTACATGCTTGTTTTTGAGGAACAAGGGGATCTTAATACTTTACCACCTCTAATTCTGTGTGTGCGCGAGTGACGGGAATTGCTTCCAGGGGGACAACTCAAAAAGAGACCAAGTTAGCACCGGAGACTGCCCTTTCTGGTCTCCCGTGTTAAGAATAACTCATTGACTTACATACAAGTGAACTCTTGACAACTTATCTAGGACTGGGAATACGGTTCAGATTCCTAGGAGCCACTGTTCTATTTTTAGCTATTAGTCCTGCACGGGGCTGAATAAATATTTCAAATTCCTGGGTAAACTGGGATTGTGCTTTTCAACCCTGAATGCCTCTGCGGGTTCTTCCTCCGATCAGTCTTTACATTCTGTTTGTTTATCTCCCCCTCTCTCCGCTGCCTCCCCTTCCCCATGCCAATCTGTTCGTTTCTTCAGTTTCAGCTGGAAATTCTTTATTTCCGGGATATGAAGCTTCACTGTTTCATATAAAACGGTGGCTACTTGAGCACATACATGAAGCTGCCTTCTGCTGACTCAGAACACTGGTCCATCGAGGTCAGTGTTGTCCACGCAGACTGGCAGCAGCTCTCCAGGGTCTCAGGAAGAGGTCCTTCCTATCACCTACTGCCTGGTCCTTTCAGCTGGAGATGCCGGGGACTGAACCTGGGACCTTCTGCATGCCAAGTAGAGGCTCTACCACTGAGCCACAGCCTCTCCTAAAGCAGCAAGGAATGGAGAGGTGGTGGTGGTATGTGCTGTCGAGTCAAAGCTGACATACTGACCCTGCGGGGTTTACCGGGCAAGCGATGTTCAGAAGTGGTTTGCCATTTGCTGCCTCTGCATAGCATCCCTGGACTTCCTTGGTGGTCTCCCCTCCAAGTACTAACCAGGGCCGGCCCTGCTTAGCTTCCGAGATCTGATGAGATTGGGTGGACCATCCAGGACAGGTAGATTAAGTAAAGTGAGTATGTTAATCAGGGGGCATTCTTCAGCCATTAACCTTACTGCAGCAACATGGTGCCTGCTTTCCCACGCCTTCTCCCCATGACACCGATGGTAACATTTGGAAGACCAGAACCATGCCAGCTTGGGCCCAGCTGAGTCAACTGACCCAGCCAGAATGGAAGGCAATGAATGGCTGTAACAGACCCACCCACCAGGTGGCCCATTTACATGGCCCTGGACTTCCACACTGTTGCCACAGCACTGTGGAAAGAAGCCCCAGAGAAGCAGATCTCATGGCAACCCACGGGAGGGATCCTTTGCTCGCCTACCTGGGCAGTGGGGACAACGCTGTACAGAAGGAAAGATGCTTAGGAAAAAGGAGGGGATGTGAGGTTGCCAAGTCTGGGTTGGGAAATCCCTGGAGCTTTTGGGGGTGGAGCCTGGAGAAGGTGGGGTTTGGGGAGGGGAGGGAGCCCAGTGGGGCATAATGCCATAAAGCCCGCCCTCCAAAGCAGCCATTTTCTCCAGGGAAAATGATCTCTTTTGTCATCTTGAGGCTCCACCTGGAGTTTGGCAACCCTAAGGAGATGGAAACAGGTGGCCGGGTTTTTAAACCTCTGCAGGGCCCACCCAAGCCCGCTGGTACTCTCCCTCCATGCCCGGTCTTCAGCCCAGTCCCACGAAGCATGCTGTTCGGCAGCTGTCTGACCCCAATCCATCTTTCAGCCGGCCCAAACACCTCCGTAATTCTCTCAGCCTTTCCTCTCAGAGGTCAAGCCCGGAAAGTCCTTCATCATCTTTACTGGCCTCCTCCAGAGCCCCACCAATTCATCAATGTCTGTCTGGAAGGAAGCCTTCCCGGAGAAGGACAGAACAAGGCAGGCTTCGACAGAGGCCTTGGCAGAACGAGAAGGCCTGGGAATTCCACCGCAGCCAACAAACGTCCACCAGAACTGGATGTACATAAACTGCTGAAGACGGATTTTAAGAGGTACAGAGGACCCTGGAAGCAGAACTCTCGAACTCCCCTCCCCCTTTGGCAGTGTGTCCGGATACAGCAAAATGTGCAACAGGACATCATCCTGCGAGTTCTCCACCTTGGCCTGCTTCGTTGGCCTCGGTTTGTTGGGGGGGAGCACAATTATGCCACGTCACGCACTTTGCTGCTGTGCAGAGAACATGAGTGGATTGGCCATGATGGCCAGGCCCGTAGCTGCGGTGGGGCTCTTGGGGTCTCCGCCCCCTTTCTTAAAGGCACAGCCCCAAAAGAATTTCTCCGTTTTTTTTCCCCAGTCATTTAAAAAACATTTTTAAAGGCGTGCGCTCCTTTAAGCAGAGCGGGGTGCCGTAGCTGACCAATCTACTGGAAGTTCTGACTTTATCTATATAGCCCTAACAGTACTTCTTTTATGTAAATTGCTGCTACCTCTGAATTTTACAGTTTTCATGATTTCAGTGTAATGTAATTTTATTGTAATGAGTATATGGCTCTGTTTGCTGTGATCTGCCCTGAGCCCATTTGGGGAGGGTGGAATAAAAATCTAATAAATAAATAAATAATTCCCGAAATGAGCAACGGGGGTTGGAGTAGGTAACCTCTAGGATCCCTTCTATCTCTGTGTCAAGAAACTGGTCTCCTTGAAGAGAGCTTTTCTGCCTACGTGTTGGCTTTCTTGACTACAGAAGTCATCACCCCTACCTGCCAGCTTGTTATCAGAAGTGTTGCTTAAGCTGGCAGAAGTGATGAACTTCTGAAGTGGTGGACAGCTTGCAGTTGAGAGATCTATCCTAACCACTACACCAAACTGGCATCCTGCCTTTCTTCCACAGTGGAGCTTAGGATGGCATCCGTGGACTTTCCAGGAGGTCTACCCAGGCTCTGTCCAACTTAGCTCCAGGAGGACTGGCTTATAGAAATGTTTTAAATAAATAAAATCATACACACACATACACACATATATAAATCATGTGCATTCCAAGCATGTTCTGAGTTAACAGGATTCACACACCTACCTGCATGGAAACAGGGGCTCATGGTGTACGGGAACCCAAATGGCAAAGGCTGAGGTGGAGGGAGAGAGGCCGGAGGGAGGTATTTGGCTTCGGTTTTGTTGATGACCGGGCCAAGGAGATGGCTGGGCGAGTCGGCGCTGGAGGAGCTGCAAGGAGCATTCTGGCTGGCAGCCAATTCGCTAAGTTCTTTGGCGCCATCGCAGGCTTTCACTGTCTCTTTGCACTCCTTGAGCTCGCCAGCCGAAGCACTGCTCTCGGCCTTCACACTCTCCAGCTTCTCCTCGTTTGCCTCGGCGTCGCTCTCTGAGTCCTTCATCTCCTCATCGTTGCCGTCAGGGGGCCGGCTTTCGGACAGCTCTTTGGATTCGTTCTGGCCTGAGGCCTCGGCCCGGTGGTGCCCCGATTTCCGGTTCGCCCTTCTGCTGCTGCTGCTGCTGCTACTGCCGCCACCACCACCTTGCTCCTTGGGCGGGGTGGTGGAGGCGCTGGGGACCCCGTGATGGTTCAGCGACAGCAGCGGAGTGTTGTTGTGCCGGAGCACCAGCATGGCGTTCCTCCGTGAGAGCTCGTCCCGGAGCGGATGCCCCTCGGGGATGTCGTGGACATTGCGCAGAGCCGGGTGATCTGGCGGCAGACCCGCATGCAAGGTCATTGGGTCGCTGGCCAGTAGCCTCTGTCGATGCAGGTTCTCCAGTTCCTTCTGGCGGATGATCTCGGCCGACATCTCCAGCCTAAACAGGCGCAACAGAGAGAGGGTTAAAGACTGAACTGGGGTCAAGTCCCACCTCTGCCACATACGTAACTGCGTGGCCTTGGGCAAATCCTGGCTGGGAAAGCAGGGATATAGTCGGGATTTTTTTGGTTTGTGGGGTGAATTTTTTTCTTGTGGGGCCCCCATTATGGAATTTTTTTTCTTGTGGGGCACACACACTCTTCACCTAAAATAAACAATACATCCTCCGTGTATTTTAGACACTGGTTGCAGACTAAAGGAATGTCAGGTTTTTATAAATTTCTAAACTGCAAGCTGCCCTACTAAGGGGGGGCAGGAATGGCCTGGCAGAACAGTGTAGTGGGAGACCACGCTACTGAGATAGCTGGCCGCCAAAGTTGGGTGGCTGTTCCCATCTTGGAAGATTATATAGGTTCAGCACCGTCTTATAGGATGATTTTTACTGTTGTTTTAAATATTGTATTCTATTATATGTTTTATTGTAATTTATACCTCGGCTTTGCCGCATGTGAGCCGCCCTGAGCCTTTGGGAGGGCGGGATATAAATCAAATAAATAAATAAATAAATACTTGAGATCCTGGAGAGCCACTGCCAGTCTGAGTAGACAGTACTGGCATTGATGGACCAAGGGTCTGATGCACTATCCGGCAGCTTCATGTAGATGGGAGATAGCAGTCATATTAGTCAAGTTTTCCCACAAGATGCAGATGGAAAAGTGTGTTGGCATCAGTAGGCGGCTGGCTGACTACTTCTCACCTCACAGTAAAAAACAAACAACCTAGATACAGGAAAGAGGAGGTTTAACATTGCTTGATCCCTAACACACTCACTTTTATATGCAGGGAAATGGGTCATATGGAGGAGAATTCAGTTATGTTGAGCCCCATCTGAAATGACACATTCATTGAGGTACTGACTGACCACCTCATCAGCTGCAGTCTAGGTTTAAGGCCCATACTTTCTATTAACAACAGGACCTGAAGCATTTAGTGCAGGGATGTCGAACTCACTGGAAATGTGTTATTTAAAGTTTTAAAAAAATCTTTAATTGTGTTTTTCTGTGTCCTATCTGGCATTACCTTTTATGACACGCATGGCCCGGCCCAACAAGGTCTCATATATGTCAGATCCGGCCCTCATGACAAATGGGTTCGACACCCCTGTTCTACGATGTACCCAAGAAGCTCTGCTTTGAAGTTTCATCTTATGGAGAAGCAGAGTTTCATCTCCACAAGCAGCAGGGATGTCCTGGATGCCACCCCCCCTCTCTCCCATAAGCCCTTCCTTTGGCTCCTTCCATCAGTCTCAGAGGCTACCCATGTCAGAGGAGCACAATTCGAGGCTGGTAGTACCTTATAGATTGACCAGAGTTTCAGCGTATAAACTCTGGAGAGTCGAACCTCTTGGATGAAGGTCTCTAAGGTGCTACTTGACTCCAATCCAGCTGTTCCACCACAGAGGAAGAACTAATGATGAATAATTATCGTATGGCATTGTGCACAGAATAGCCAGGACAGCCAAAGATTGTCTGGCAATCACAAGTTCTAGCTCTTAGCGTTATGCAGGTGGTGGGCGAGACTTGTTTTTTAGGGGTTGAGAGAGATCGAAAGAACTGTGACTGGCCCAAGGTTACCCAGCTGGCTTCATGCGGAGGAGTGGGAAATCGAACCTGGTTCTCCAGTTTAGCGTCCGCCGCTCTTAACCACTACACCAAACTGGCTCTCAGCAGAAGTACTAGAAATACTAGTTAACCATCTGCTTTTGGGCACCTTTTGAAATGCTGGTTCTTTTAAGGCCCTGAATTGTTTGGGGCCAGGGTACATGAAGGGCCGTCTCCCCCCATACACTATCCAGCCCACCAGTTAAGATGAGTGTCTCAAGCCCCTTTCTCTGTGGCCCCGCCTTCAGAGGTGAGGCAGGTCGCAACAGGAGACAGGGCATTCTCTTTGGTGGCCCCTTGCCTTCGGACCACCTTCCCCCCTTGAGGCTCACCTGGTGCCAACTTCACTTTCTTTTCGGCACCAGGCCAAAACACATCTTTTAACCCAGGTTTTTAAATAGGGATTTTATCTTATCGGTTTCTTAGGGGTCTGCTTCTGTTTTATGGATCGTTTTTATGCTGTTTGGGTCCAATGGTTCGTTTTTAATGGCGTGGGTTTTATACTCTTATATTGTGTTCGATTGTAAGCTACCCGGAGTAGGATTCTGAAGAGGTGGCACAGAAACACCCAAATTAAATAAACACCTAAATAGAAGCAGGTGAAGATGAGCCTTTTTGTTTGGCTTTGGAGGAAACTGGGTGGAAGACAGCCGCTGGACGTGAGTGATAGTACCTCTGGCGTGGCCTTAATCTCTATGGCTCAATGAAGCATGCTAGCTAATCGCTCTCTCTCTCTTCACGGACACACAATTGTGCTGGAGATGTGTCAGGGCCAAATCTCTGGACAGCATGAGTCGTGGGAGGAGAGAGATGGGCCTATAAATGCATGGGGGAGCGCATGCCAATTTGCCCGGCTACACAGCAATGTTCTGTCGCAAAACCGCGCTTCTGACCTGGCCAGGTTCTGTTTCCGCAACATCTCCTGCTGCCGCGCAAACATCTCAGCTTGGGCTGGCTGTAGAAACCCGTAACCTGCAAATGAAGGGAAAAGAAGGTGGAATCACACATTAATGTATACACTGAACCAAGTTACTGGAGATGCTTTAAACAGGAGTGTCAGGTATGGAACCTAGGACTTTTTGCATGTGTCCTTCTTACCACTCAGCTATGATCATTTGTGGCTTCGTCACTAGGGCTCCTTTGCATGCTCTCTGGAAGGGGTGCAGGATGCAAGTCAACATGGCTGGGGCAAGACATTTGGGTAGAAAAACCCAATCCCCTATGCAATAGAGGGTATAATCCCCCGCTAAGATCTGACAATAAGCCTCATTGGACTGGGAGGACTACCCCCCCCACGCACCTGGGAACACCAGGCCTTACACTTACCTGGTGTTTGGCACAAAGCCGATGGCACCCCTAAGAAAGGGGGTCTCAAATGAGGGCCTAATGCAATATGGGGAGCATTCTGAGGTGACAGAAGAGGTGGTGGGTGGGACATCTCCCTAGAAGGGGGGGAAAAACATAGAGGACATTAAACATTTCTCCTAGGAAGACTGGCAGAGTTCTGTAAAACAAGGTAGAGTCACAGAGTTGGAAGGGACCTCCAGGGTCATCTAGTCCAACCCCCAGCACAATGCAGGGAATTCACAAATACCTTCCCCCCCCCCATACACTCCTATGACTGCTGTTCCATGCCCAGAAGATGACAAGAAACCTCCAGGATCACGGGGCAAACTGACCTGAAGAAAAATTGCTTCCAAGGCCCAAGTGGCGTTCAGCATTTCCCTGGGCGTGTAAGAAAGGGCCATGAGAACTAAGCACTGATGCAACCCTTCCTGCCCTCCCTTCTTGCGATCTGCCTAAGTTCACAGAAACTACATTGCTGTCAGATGGCCGTCTAGCCTCTGCTTAAAAACCTTCAAAGGAGAGCCCACCACTTCCCGAGGAAACCTGTTCCACTGAGGAATTGCTCTGTCAGGAAGCTCTTAAAGTTCTTAATCCTGTAGGTTTTTTGCCCTCTTCTGGGTCACTGGGTGTGTAGTGGGGAGGTGTTTGTGAATTTCCTGCACTGTGCCGGGGGTTGGGTTAGATGACCCTGGAGGCCCCTTCCAACTCTATGCTTCTATGTTCTTTTGACTCTACTTGGGCCAACCCCACTCTTGATTCCCATCAGTCCACACCCAATGTTAATTTCTCTCACTGCCATTTGTTCATTTTATTTGTTAAACTTCTAACCTACTTTTCCTTTGAAGAGCTCAGAGCAGCAAACGTGTGGTTTCTCGGCAGTCTCCGAGCCAGCGAGACCCACTTTTTGTCATTCTGCGCCTTCAAACTGCTCTCTGGGGAGAAGTGTCCCCCCTCAACTGAGTTAGTGTGAGCTAGCTCACGGTTTTTTAGCCTCTGGCTCACACATTTTTGTCTGAGCTCAGGAAGGATGGCTCCAGAGCAAACTAATTTATGCAGCAGCCAAATCGCTCGCTCACAACTTTAACGCCAGTCGCTCACAAAGTAGAATTTTTGCTCACAAGACTCCACAACTTAGAGGGAGCACTGGGGGTTAGGTTAGGGTTGCCCTTGTGCAAGTCAGACCCTCTTGTATTGTGTCCCAAAGGGTGAAGCACACCTATAAATGATTTTTCATTTCTCACTCCTGAAATTTCAACTCAGACTGGACCTGCATTTCTGTCTGCCCGCACTGAATTTTCCTCATAAAACATACGCATTTTGCGACGTCGGTGCTGGACAGTGCTCTCAAGTCACACCCAACTTTTGGCGACCCCGTAGGGTTTTCAGGACAAGAGACATTTGGAGGTGGTTTGCCATGGCCTGCCTCTGCGTAGCGACCCTGGACTTCCTTGGAGGTCTCCCCTCCAAGGACTAACCAGTGCCGGCCCTGCTTAGCTTCTGAGATCTGAGGAGATCAGGCTAGCCTGAGACATCCAGGCCAGACCTTTCCAGCATTACTACTAGAAATAACGTACATTTAACATACAAATATCATATAAAAACCATACATATACAACATAAACAAATCTGTATAGCAGTGAAGAGAACAAAAGCCATCCACAAAAATATAAGGTAAAAATATAAGGTAATATAAGAAGAGACGAAATAGGGCACATCCGCTCATCCTTACAAACACCCTTCGCAAATAAGCCAGTGTGGAGCTAAACGGATTTTTAGTACTTCAGGAAAGAGATTTAACTGCAGGCCAAACTCCCCAGTTTCTCCGGTCTCCTTCCTACCAAAAGCTCTTTTCTGAGGGCTAACTTGGTCTGGGGAAATGTTGGTCAGTGAATTACTAATGGCTGAAGAGAGAGCCTGCATTAGTTGCCTGTAATGAGCCAAGGGGGAATGGGGTGTGGTTCGGGATCCGTGCTCGCCTCCTGGGAGAGGAAATATGTTTCATGCTTGCTGGCTTGCTGTTTCCAGAACATTCTGAAAAAAAGGATGGTCCCATTAACGGCGGATTCCTCAGGCAACTTGGAGAAACCCGACATTCCCATCACATGCCCTGACTGGTCCTTGCTCTACTGTAGCTTCGACCATTTTGAAAAGTTTCGGGGCGGTGTGGGCGAGAGGCACTGTTGTGGTGACAGTTGGACAGCTCCCTTCCCCCCCCCCCACTGAATAAAAGACTGGCCACCGATTACCTCAGCTGAGTGAATCTGGCCTCAGGCACTATGAATATTAAGCACTTATAGGGAAGGACGCCTTCTTGGGCATGGAGGACGGACTGAAAATTTTGCCTCTCGCTGGGCCATTTTACGATAAATAATAATTTAAAAAACCCAGCCAGTCCGCACCAATCACACCGACAGGGGGGGAAATGGGGTTATGCAAAACTGGAAGGGCAGAATTTTCATTCTAATGAGGCAATACGAATGCTGCTACAGTTTGGAAAGAGAGGGGGGAAATGTAACTGTTTTAAATCCCCCCCTCAGAAGAGCAGCTCTCTTCCCCATCGGTCCCTCTCTCCCCAACTTTCCGCCTGCTTCTCCCCCGCCCGGTTCCCTTTCTGGCCATCTCCGCAGCCCCCTGCTCTCCCCCGCCAGCACCGCTCTGGCCCAGCTTTCGGCCTTTTCCTCCCTCCTTCCTTCTGGAGCTCTCCTCTAAACTAATTGCACGGCTCCCGGTGTCTGGAGGAGAGCCACGGATCGATCCGTCGCTGTTGAAATGTTAATGCTAATCGTATAACCGCTCCGCCAGCGCCTCGCACTTCAGTGGCAGCGCCAATTAATCTCAGGTAACGCAGCGCATGACCTTCGGGGGCTCAGCGCCGGGGTAGCAGCCAAGCGATGCTTATGTAATTACACCATGAAGTGTGTAATCACCTGCCCTAATCCCCCAGGCCTCACAATTAGCCGAGGCCTCGGTCGCCGGCCTGCCAAGTGCTCTGCCACGCCGGACAGCCTGGCGGATGAATAACGGACAATTAAAGCGGCATGACGGGGGCCGGGAGGGGTCCCGCTCGATCGTAATTAGCTGTAATCATGGGGAGACGAGCCTGCCAGACGTGCGGCTCGGCTTAGAGGAAGCAATTTAGGAAATCAAGTGGCGGTTAACCGTTTTCTGTCCAAGCATCAACGACAACGCCCGCCCCCCCCAAACACAGCGAGGGGGGAGAGGGAGGAAAGTGACTTATTTATTTAATTCATTTGTACCCCACCTTTCTTCCCGACGGGGACCCAAAGCGACTTAACATCATTCTCCTCTCCTCCGTCTTATCCTCACAACAACCCTGTGAGGTAGGTTAGGCTGACTGGCCCAAGGCCATCCAGCAGGCTTCCATGGCACAAGTGGGGATCTGAACTTGGGTCTCCCAGATACCACTCTGACTCTCTTAACCACTGCACTGCACTGCACTGCACTTGATTGGGAGATAGCAGTGGCATGGTGGCATCACCACGTCCAGTGGAGGCACGCTATGGGCCAGTATTCCCTCTAAGCTGAGTTAGTGTGAGCTCGCTCACAGTTTTTTAGCCTTCGGCTCTCACACTTTCGTCTGAGCTTAGGAAGGGTGGCTCCAGAGTGTTGGGTGATAGTGAGATATTGAAAAAAAAATGTATTTAGCAGAGATAAGAGGGTCCAGCAGAGCCAAAGTAAAATAATTCAGACTAAGAGTCCATGTGTGATTAAAATATAAAGTTTTTACTAAATTCTAGCATGGGAAGGGTAACTGGGATGAAAATAACAACAGAGCAAAATCGGCTACATCCTTACTCTACAAAGACAAAACTAGAAGAGAGAGAGTATGGCTGCTCTTCTTCTTCTTCAGAACACCAAACAAAGACGGGAAGAGAAGCCATAAAATGCTAGTACACCTTGACACTTTAGTCCCAATCAAATTCCTAGATCAGGGAGAAAATTCCCCGCGCTTTCTACAGCTAAAGAACATTGGTTACAAGAGAAACATGTGACTTCCTGTGAGTAACATAAACAAACATTTAACCCCAGATATACTGAGCGTTTTCAACTTGTAATACCCAACACAGAGCATACTAATTTATGCAGCATCCAAATCGCTCACTCACAACTTTAATGCCAGTAACTCACAAAGGAGAATTTTTGCTCACAAGACTCCACAGCTTAGAGGGAGCATTGGCTATGGCCCTCCCTTCTTTCTCCTAATCTTCTGCCTGGCACTGCCTGGCACCTCCCTTTCCCTCAGCTTAATATCCTGCACTGCATCCCCCCAAATCTCAGCTCTGCAGGTATTAACCCCCCCCTCCCCTTATCGTTTGTCAAATGGACAACTTCTTCTTCCATCCTTCCCCATTGCCTCATATTGTCTCTGGACAGGCAGGGTACCATTTCAGCACCGTGCCATACAGCCTAGAGCCCTAGGTTTCAAATGGTGTTCCAGAGATCTGCCAAGGATCCTCAGAAGCTTGGGGGGGGGTGTCTGTTGAAGTTCTTTTTTATTATTATTATTATTGTTGTTGTTGTTGTTAAAATTTCTGGATCGCCCAATCCCTGAGTACACAAGGCTCTGGGTGATTTTTTGTTGTTGCTGTTGTTCAGTCGCACAGTCGAGTCCGACTCTTCGCAACCCCATGGACCACATCACGCCAAGCCCTCCTGTCTTCCGCCATCCCCCAGAGTGTGCTCAACCCCACGTTCGCTGCCTCGATAACACTGTCTGACCATCTCATCCTTTGCCGTCCCCTTCTTTTGCCTTCAATCTTTCCCAGCATCAGGGTCTTCTCCAGTGAGTGCTCCCTTCTCATTTGGTAGTGGCCAAAGTATTTGAGCTTCAGCTTCAGTATCTGGCCTTCCAAGGAACAGTCAGGGTTGATTTCTTTTAGGATTGACTGATTTGATCTCCTTGCACTCCAAGGCGATTTACAACAGGTTAAAAACAATATAAAATTACATATTAAAATCAACAATCAGTTAATCCTAATTTAATAGTCTCCATATGGCGTCCATAATTTAGTCCAAAACTAGTTCTCTCCCTGAAGTCATGGAAGAATTTACATGTTTGTTTATGCATGCTGAT